CAGCAGCAGCAGCAGCGCATGGCGGCGCGGATGGCGAGGGCACCTCATCACTGAAACGCAGCAGAAAGAGCTCAGACCTTCCACGACAATCCAAACGGCTGCGCAGCAGGAAGTGACTCACTGCCTCGTGTAAGTGTTGTAGCCAGTTTTCTGTTTTGACTGACCACACTCTGTATCCAGAGCCCCACGTCTGCCTCCCCCCTCCCACTCACCTTGCATCACGTGCGCCATCTCACTCATGCCGCGATGTGGACGCGCTCCCGCCACGTCGGACTCTCCACCAGAGTTCTGTGCTCACCGACATACATAGACGCATCACTGGAGACAGGACAGGACAACATGGACATGGTCAACATTAGGATGTCTCCCAGAGAACAGGTCAGGCCTGCTGGTGGTCAGGCGGCTACAAGACGACACCCAAACGCCACACGAATACGCCTCCATTTCACCCACAGAACCAGAACCCTGTTCACCAGGAGAACCCTGTTCACCAGGAGAACCCTGCAGGTGTGTGTGGACTTTTCAGGACCTGTCCTCATTATTAGTTCAGTCAGGTCCACTTCCTCCTGTGGACAGTCCACAGTATAGGTCCTAATTGTCGACAGAGCTAGAAGCCCCGCCCCCTACTGGTGTGACCTAGTCAGTGCAGCCAGTATGCAAACTCGTAACCGGTTCCACCAGTATGTCCGTCAGCGTGTTGAAGACATCGGACCACGTGGTCCGATGTCTTCATGACCCTTCTGGCGCTCATTCCCCTCTAGAGGGCGCTACTGAAGGTAGAGGTAGCTTGTTTGAGATTCCTGTTAAAGCAGAAATCACAGAATTTTTTTTTTTTTTTTTTTTTTTTGCATTATTATTGTTATTATTATTATTACACTTTTTAATGAAGTAACATTTCAGCATTATTCCAGATTCACACCATGTGACCCTCGGCTGCAGCTTGATGTGAGACGTCCTCAGAAGCTCCTTCATTGCCCAAACTCTCCAGTCTTTGCAGATAAATCCCATAATTCATAATCCAGCTTCCTTTGCTCGAGGGACAAGCTGGTAACCATCCCAATGTTTTAGGTTTTCTAAAGCCACTAAAAGGTTCCTGCAGGTGAATTTCCAGAGAGAACCACACTGATCCTGTCCAGCTCAGTGGGGGCATAAAGTGGCCTCTCCCCAACATGTTGCTATCTCAAAGCAGAATTACCAACTGGAAATATTTCTGTTCTTGGGAAAGGGGGGGAAGCAGAGCGCCACCTATCTTTCTTAAGATAACAGTTTTTAAACTACAGCTGGCAAGCAGTTGAAGATGAGAAATCCATATTTTTATTTCAAATCCTACATTATCGATTGGATTATTAACAATTACATAATGAACAGATCATTTTGGCAGTAGCAGAGTCTGTGGTCGTAGCGGCGCTGGGTAGAATCATGTTTTAGATTTTTGTTAGAAATATAATATTGTCCGCCTACTATGATCCATATCTGGCATGTTCAGCTCACCCACCTCAGTTGGTGTCATGTGTGTAATGTGTCCGAAGGGTTTAGACCTAGTTTTAAAGCTATTAAGTGAAACTGAAGGATATCATGAAGGTTCAGTTCAGCGCCGGGGCTCACCTGGAGGAAGAAACCGATGTCGACATCATCATGCAACCTGAGCATCGCCCAACACGACCGGCGTCCATTTAAAGGGCAGGTGTCCGTTCTTTAAATTTCTGGGGGGAAAAAAAAAGGTTCAAGCTTCCCGGTTCCTTCCATTAAAAAGCCACACAGAAATACAATCTAGTAGAAAGCAGCCCGCGGAAGACCCTAAGGAGCAAGTTTATGCTCGTACTTTCCCTTCCAGTCCTAGTGAAAACAGAAGCTGTGAGTGGTTTGCAGTGATGACGGAGGAGCTGCAGGTGCTCATGGTGAGCAAGGTCTCTCTCTCTGCTGCTCTCCTGTACAAACTCTCCTCCTTCCTGGAGCTCCTAGCTTAGCTGTGAAGTCATCGTGTGGCTACTTTTCTTTCTTTCCTTCGAAGCGTTTCTGTTGTTTGGACGAGCCGAACCACTCATGGCATGACTCTTTGGAAATGCACTTGTGTGTATAATAGTAACACTGGGCTGCAGAACATGCAATGTAATCTAGTGGCTTATAATGAGAGAACTTGTACTGTAATCTCCATGTACTTCAAGATGTAGATTGTCAATGATTTCATGTTTGTAAACAAAGAAACTTATCTTTTAAGTTGGCCCGTTTGGGTCTGACTATGAAGTTTTGTTGCACATATTACTGTTACGATGTATAAACCAAACCTATTAAATCTCTACAGCTGTTCAGCTCACTTCCTGGTTTTTGTACTAATAAATCTTCATATAGGCTCTCGCTGAGGGAGGATAGTTCAGTTTGGACACACACACACACACACACACACATCACTTGTCTATAGATGGATTATAGTTGCAATGAGCTGGAACCAGAACCAAAAAAATCATTAAATTAAAAATGTGTAACTTGCATAGATTTTTTATTTATTTTTTATTTTTACCTCCTCAACAAACTACACTTTTATTAATCAGTTTATTGTTAAACAGGGTTTTTCCCCAGTGTATAATAAGCCTGGTAAGCCACCAGGTTTTACTTGTGCCCCCATCAGACTAAGCATTAATTGTCTTTTTAAAATGTTTGCATTGCATGTTGCAAGACTTTACAGTTGGTGTTCAAGTATTATCCAAATTTTCTGTTGATTTTAAATGCTTTTTAACTCAAAAACACGACGGTCTGCTGTATGAATGCTTGCTCTTGCGCCCAACCACCAGGCTCTGCAGGGTTTCTGGGGGAAACCTTGTTTAAGATCCAAAACACAAAAATGGTTTCGGTCTGTTGCTTTATTAAAAGAAAAACAGACCATTTCCAAATTTTGGAATCAACTGGTTTTTTTTCTTATTATGTTGGCCAAATTATTACCACTCCGGACATGAACTCAGGAGCCACAAATCAACGCCTGCTGTCATTTGTTGTTTTTTCTTTCTCTGCCTTTGGATGCACATAACTATTAATGTAGGCTTTTGTTGTTGTGCTGCTGGTTTCTGTTTTAATATTGATGTTCAACCTATTGTAAATTCTCATATGTGGAATGGAATTCAAATTTAATTCAAAATTTCTTTGTTATCCCAACGGGAAATGAAATGTTGCTGTAGCTCATTAATTCAGATTCTTCAGAGTCATTGTAGATAGTGATGGCTGCAATACACACCTCTTGTAGCGGTCTGTATTACTGAAGATACTCTGTTTCCTCAAGACGCTCTCATGAAGAGCATGCTCCGGGTTGTCCGTACTTTTCTCGAACTCATGAAGAATCCTTTTTGTCGTCGTCTCTAGAGCTTCCACAGTTATCTGCAGACCAGAACCAGAACAGAATCAGACTTCTTCAGCAGGTTGTTGAGCCTTTTTAGGTCTCTGGTTCTGATGCTGGTGCCCCAACAGATGACGGCAGAAGAGATGACACAACAACAACAGATTTATAGAAGATCTGCAGCATATTTCTGCAAAACTTGGAAGGATTTTAGCTTCCTCAAGAAGTCCAGTCGCTCTGTTCCTTCTTAGAGACGCTTCAATGCATCTCCGGTCCAGTCTGTTGTCCAGATGAACATCGAGGTATTTATACCATCTCCACTTCTTCTCCCATGATTGAAATAGGGTTTCATTATTATTAATCTAACAGTCTTTTGAGTATTTCTGGAGAGAATTGAAGTCTGACTTCATGCAGTCTGAAGTGCAGAAAGTGAAAAGGAATGACCAGAGTACAGTCCCCTGTTGTGCTCCTGTGTTGCTGACCACCTGGTCAGACACTCAGTCCTTCAGTCTCACAAACTGTGGTCTGTTTGTGAGGTCGTCATAGATCCAGGTGATTGTTGAATGACAGTCAGTTTCACATTTAGTCCTGTGGTTCAGTGAAAGGAAGTTCTGGAGCTGTTTTTCATCTAGTGTATCTGCTGAATAGGCCCTTTTTCACTCTGTGTGCAGGTATGTGTGCTGGATAGCTGTAACCTGAAACTTCAGTCTCCAAAGCCCACACACACACACACACACGCAAGTCATACGATACTTGTCTGAAAACAAAAGGCATACTATTAATTTTAAAGCAGCACACTTGCTTCTGTTCTGTCTGTGTTCTTCAGGGTGAACAGACTTCTCCAGATTTACAATTGTTTACATTTAACTAGTGTTTACTTCCAGTGACTCTTCAGACCTGGCATGTACCTGGGAAACCAGGAATAAGCTTTTCAAAATTGCAACTGTATTGAGATTTAAATAATTTAGAGAAGTTTGGTGAACAGAAAAGGAGAAGTACAGAGGAGGCTCATCACAAATAGGAAATTAGCATAACTGTAGCAAACAGATCATTTTTGCAATAGAGTAAAAAATAAGAAGATATGTGTTTCATTATGAGATTATTGTGTCCTGGGACTCACATGGATGTTATATATGACCTTGTTTAAACCTTGTGGAGTATTAATATATTTCTCTATTAAAATTGTATGTTTTTGTTATTGGTGTAATAGAATATTCTTATCTTAAATGCCTCGTTTTAATTTTCGCTGGAAGAAGAAATTTATCATAACAGAAATAAAGGCTCAAAACTGTGGATTTATTGTATTAAACTTGTTATTTATGGGGGTTATGGACCACAGCTGACCATATTTCATATCACCAAGCTGCATTTTCATTTGAATATTTTAGATATGTGGTGTCACTGAAATAAAGTAACTTTTATTCTTACTGGTTGAATAAACCTGTTAGTTGTACCTTGTCCAGTTAGCAGCCTGAATCAAATATAGAGGCCACTAAAATGACATGTGAAACAGAAAGAATAGTTCATTTCCCCCTTTGCAAAACACATTTGCAAATGACACACTTCGGCAACCTGACCCACCAAACCGTTTGCTTAAGATGCCACTTCGGGGAGCAAAACGTCATCACTCGGTAGTTTCCGTAGTGAGAAACTGAGTAGAATCATTTATAATGTAGAAGCAACTGTAGAAAACACTGAATGCGTGAAGAAAAGCGTGTTAAGACAAGGCAAAACCTTCACTGGTACTTCTCTTCCTGAAGTTAGCAAATACCCAACGATACTGCTGCATGACTGCAGAAGAACTACAACAGGTCCGGACAATGAAGATAACATAAAGATGTTTAAGAACGTTCAATATCCAAGACGTCGAGGCCACGGTCCGTTTTTCAGAAGCAAGAACTACGTTTATATAACTAGTTTTACTGATACTAAGCAAAGTTCATTGGCATCTAATATGAACTCTACTCGCGGCCCCTTGCATTTTCTAATCTAGACACTTAAACCGCACAAAGAATCCATGTTAGGTAACAGAAAAGCAACAAGTTACGTAGCGAGTCTCCGGAGGGAGGAGGGGCCTCAGAGTGGCGCAGGGCTAGCGGAGAGAAGCACGCCCGGACGCTCCGAGTTAATCACAATCTTCTGACTTCCATCAGAGCTGTTGGTGTCGGCGAGCAGCTGAAGACAGCGTCAGAGAAGATGGGGAACCGAGTGGGCCGTGAGGACTACGAGTGGGTCTACACGGACCAGCCGCACGCAGACAGAAGAAAAGAAATTCTGGGTGAGCTAGCTTATGCGTTAGCAAGTGTCAAGATGACAAAAAGTAAACTCCGAATGACTTAAACTTAGTTTAATATTGTTGTAAATATATGTCGGGTTATACTGTGCACCGGTGTGACAAGCTACGCTTTTAGTTTGACATTTGTGATTTCCGTCGCAGATAAGGAAAGCTAACGGTCTCGTGTCCTCCGATGGAAGCTAACTGAGCCCAAGTTGGATTTGACGGTGGTTAACGGTTAACGCCCTTTTGAAAGAGGCACAGCCGACCCCGTATCTGCTGCCAGTTTAACGTCCCGTATGCTCTACATACACTGCAGTTCACCACTGCTGTTTTATTTAAAAGCCGTCACGCAGGAATAAATGTGCCTTCGCTGCTCTGTTCCGCTACAGGTCGTCAGTGCACCACTCCCTAAAGTAACATTTTCACCAGCATAAACGTATGAGGCTAATTTCAGTCATGTTTCACGGGCTCAAATGGAAAATAAGCTCATTTGAATTTATGTAGAGTTTGGGTATTTCTAACATTTTCACGTCCGACCGGTTGCTAAACCACATTCATAGACTAAAGTAGTCCAGCTGTCGAGCCTCAGGCACTGCTTCATATGTTATGTCCACAGGCAGGGCTAGAAGACAATGGATGGGACAAAATTCCTCAGAGTTGGATTCCCACTTATTAGAGGATTAAGCAACAAGTTATTTGCTTCATATGCATTCAGTTTGTTACACCATTTCTTTCGTGCACCGGTCAGAGTCCCAATTGTATGTTCACGATTTTACATACAGTCCATCACGATTCCAACGAAGCCAAGTCAGTAAAGTTTTATTTCACTTTATGGGGCAGTTCTGTCAGGTTGTTAAAGTCACAAATCCAGCAATTTGAGTCAACATTAAAGCTGAGTTGTCCCTTCTCATAATGCACCTCAGGGTTATGGAGAGAAAGAGTAACAGGACGTTTGGCTCTACTTGGAGCCGACTGGGTCTGTTGTGAAGTGAACTTATTCAAACAGGAAGAGATTAAAAGAAATCAGCCCTGGCTCGGCGTAATTGCGAGTTCTTGCTCACAGATGTGCCAAGTTATAAAATAGGAAAAAAAAGCAACGTTTACGCAGAAAAATAATCTCTGGCTGTCACAGATTTTAAAAGCTTGTAGTGGCAAGTGTCCACTTGTAACAGACCCAGTGGAGTTACCATGTCAAATAGACGTCAGAGCAGAAAGAGCTACATCTTTGGTACCATGAAAAAAACAACTCAATATAATTTTATGTACACAACATAATTTTGAAAAATTAAGGCATTTGAAGAATAAAGAACTATACAGTGATGAGTTGAACTAGGAAGTGTATAGGATTTATTCTAAAGCCTGGCTTTGGGTTCCAAAGAGAGAACAACATGCCTGGTATTATTATGGCATAAATAAGGTACAAATAAATAATGTTTGTACCTATGTCTGTCAGAATAAATAATATATAAATTAATTAGATGATAAATTAGAACAAGCTGAATAATTTCCATTTATGATTTATTTTTTTAATCTCTTTTTCTATCAAAAACTGGATGACAGAAGTCTTCAGTCTGGGGTTTTGTTCTCAACAAGCCCACTTTTGAAGGATCATTTTGTTTATAAAGACTTGATTATTCATTTTATTTGTTACTGATATTTAAGATCTCTTCCAGTTCCAGTGTTAAATGCAGATTTAACACTGAAATGAAAGTTTATTGATCTTTGAGAATGTGTTCTTGCATTATTATTATTATTCTTGGAAATTCTGGGACAATTTATTGTCCAGCAAAATTTGTTACGACAGGCCTAGTCTTTACACTCACACTTTTGGGGTTTTTTGTCCGTCAGCTAAATATCCAGAAATCAAGTCCTTGATGGGTCCAGACCAGAGGCTGAAGTGGATTGTGTGCCTGATGGTGGGGATCCAGTTCTTAGCATTCTACCTGGTCAAAGACTTGGACTGGAAGTGGGTTCTGTTTTGGACATATGCGTTCGGCAGCTGCATCAATCACTCCATGACCCTGGCCATTCACGAGATCTCGCACAACACCGCCTTCGGGAACAACAAAGCCATGTGGAACCGCTATTTCGCCATGTTCGCCAACCTGCCCATCGGTTTGCCGTACTCTGCCTCCTTCAAGCGCTACCACCTGGACCACCATCGCTACCTGGGCGGCGACGGCATCGATGTGGACATCCCCACCGACTTCGAAGGCTGGTTCTTTTGCACTCGCCTCCGCAAGTTCATCTGGATCGTCCTGCAGCCGCTGTTCTACGCCGTGCGGCCGCTCTGCATCAATCCCAAACCGATCAGCCAGCTGGAGCTGACCAATGTGGCCGTGCAGCTCTGCTTCAATGTCCTGCTGTACTGGACATGGGGGGCCAAGCCTGTGGTTTACATGCTAGCCGGCTCCATGCTGGGGATGGGCTTACACCCCATCTCTGGCCACTTCATCGCTGAGCACTACATGTTCCTGAAGGGCCATGAAACTTACTCATACTACGGCTGCCTCAACCTCCTCACCTTCAACGTGGGCTACCACAACGAGCACCACGACTTCCCCAGCATCCCAGGGCGAAGACTTCCTTTGGTCAGTACAACGCTACAACAGTCATCTGAGTGGAATATCTATATGAATTTAGACTTCTTTCTGTTCTTTTTCATTCATAGTTTATTTTAGTTGTTATATGAACTATTCATATTTATTAGGAATCCACCGATTAATCGGCCCTGATATCCTGAATTTTGAGAGATTGCTGATTGGCCAATGCCTACAGGTGAAGCTGATCTTATAAGAGAGGAAGAGAGAGATCCAGATCCATCAGGTCATAGCTACACATTCACAGCTGACAATAATCACCCCAACTCAGCCAACTGTATCAACAGTTCAGACAAAAAGAAAGTATTGGCCAAAATCAGATTTAGCAAGTCGGGTTTTTTAAAGATTGATATTCAGTGATCCCTGACTTATTACCGCTCTTTAAAAAGCCTGACTTGCTGATTCAGATTTTGCTGAGTCATCAACAGCAGAGTGATTTTTGCTAACTGCAAACATGCAGATATGAGTTGGTGGACGAGGCTAACGGTCAGAGTGGACAGTGACAGATGTATTTTCTTAGATCTTGGAAGAGTGAGATAAGATACAAGTATCGACCAATCACCCATCTCCCAAAATGAACAAAATCTGGGCTGATTTGTGCAGCCCTAATAAATCGGCAATAAGCCTGACAACTGAATAAGGTAAAATATGAAATGATATGAAACCTCAGCAATGGCTTGGTCTGATGAGGAAATGAAACATTCACCTCATGGCAACATTGCTGTTCTAACCCGACTCTGACTGTCTTCTAGGTGAAGAAGATCGCTCCAGAATACTACGACGACCTGCCGCAGTACTCGTCCTGGGTGAGGGTTCTGTACGACTTCATCATGGACGACACGTTGAGCCCGTACTCCCGGATCAAGAGGAAGTTAAAGGGAGAGGTCAAACAGGAGTAACCGAAGCTGCAGCATCCTCATGTCTGAGGCCTTGTAACATTTCTCTACCGTGTCCTGCTTCCATTCAGCTCAGTCCAACACAGGCAGATTTACGTTTGTGTTTTTGCACAAAAAGGCCTTGAATTGTGGATAAAAAGATGTTACTGAGATTTTTATTTGTTGCGATATAATTGTATTTCTGCTACACTTCCAAATCCATCAGATATTTTTGGAGTTGGGGTTGTGTTGACTACTTATAAATCATTAGTATCTGAGCTGGTGTTTTGTTGTTTCTTTTTTTTTTTTTAGTTCTGATTAATCTAGACATGAAATGGTTGCCATACTAACATTGTATGTTAAAATAAAATGACTTGTTTTTGTAAGCTCGGTTTTGAAGCTTTGCTGCAGTTATGTTGGCTCTAGTAGGGAAGCTGCAGTGGAATAATATGAGGACCAATGGGGGGAGGGTCATAGGGCTTATGTTTGTGCAGTGTTAGTTATGGATCTGAAGTGGATTAAACTGTAAATCTTAAAACTACGTTTGTAAAAAAAAAACCCAAAACAAACTAAAATGTGTTGAGCTAAAGTCCAACCATGAGTGAGCTGGTTTAAACTTTAAACTTTGCGACATGTCTCTACAAATTGGCCGACCTTTTGACCTCCTGGCTTTTCTTTCTGGGTTTTCTGATATCCCAGCGCCGGCACTCAGTATTTCCATCCCAGCAGAACGTTTTTCTCCTTTTTTTTTTTTTTTTTTTTTTTCCTGGGATTCTGCCAGAATCGGACGGAGCTTAGCACCGCCTGGCTAGAAGCCCTCAGATGTAGCTGCAGCTGTGTGCAGCAGAGACATGAACATGTTTCTTTTTAGTCAATCAGTGAGCCAAGAATCTTTGTTTCTGTTTCACACAACCCCACTTCTGAAAATCACCAGTGGCCTGGTGGAAGTTGAAAAAGAACATCTAAATGAAAATCAATTGTTAAGACAGTTTGAACAGATTCAGCTGTATTGTGCTGAAGTTGATCTTAAATATTCTCAGTAATGTTGCAGACGGAGGCTTCCCAAAAACCGGAGGGGAACCTCCGTCCGAATCTGTCCGCCATCTTGGTTTACCGCTCGGATTAACTAACCTTTGCCACAAACACTCAAGGCCTCAATGATGCAACTGTCCACGCTTATTTGACAAAGGTCAATGTGTCTCCATGACGACGCAAGCATTTATGGGGATTCCCATGCACTAAAGTTACTGATAGCCGCATTTCTGCATGGTGCAGCGTGACCTCCAGATGTCCTCCACCCTGAACTGCTACATTCTAGGTCATGGATGGGAAGCACAGAGCGTCGTCATGGGTGGGATCTGTGCAAATGAACTGAGGCTGCTGCAATATGCTGCTGTCAGAGATTTCTACCTGTTTCCAGAGTGCAGCTTCTTTCTCCCAATATTCACCTGACAGGTTCAATACCACCTTGTTCTAATCTACTCCTGCCTCATTATGTACTTTCTGTTCACGGCAAGATGTGACTCTGAACATGAAGTCTGATCTCATTGCCATCAGTGCTCTGCTTGCTCAGTTTATTGATTTTATGTTCAGTATTGCGATTTTTAACTCAAGATAATAAAAACATACTTATTTTCATACACTGGAAATGTCTTCTCAGTTTCAAATAGTTGTTTTTTATCATCACCACATCCTGCAGTCATCAGAACTTGGAAGTTTTCAGTCAAGAGGAACAAAAACATAGTTTCAGAGGAAAGTTTCACCTGTTCCTGGTTAGATCCAGTCCACAACAGTAGATGGAGCCTGAACAGACTCATATTGGCTCAGGAACTATTTGATTGCAAGTGGAGCGGACTGCAGAAAGATCCGGCAGGTATTGGACAATATTCTGTGACCACAGTAGGAGCTGTTGCTGTTTTACACCAGACTTTGCCAAACCTCGACCTTATGCAGCGGGACCCAGAGTCGGTCCTGGAGTTCTGGCATCCTGTAAGTTTTGGTTCCTCCCTGGTGGTACGAACAACCTTCTCAGCAGGTCAATGTTCTTCTTGGCCTCTAATGAGCCGTCATTGGATCCAGGTGCGTTAAACCAGAAGCATGCAGGACGCCGGGCCCCTGAGGACCGACTCTGGACACCACTGAATAAAAAGGAAAATCTTACCACTAATATGGGAGTTACTGAATACAGACAGGGAGAATATGACAGTGATTATGACCAAACTGTAGAGTAACAATAAATATTTAAACCAAACAGTCTTTGGTGTCTCTCCTTAATAATGAAAAAGTCCCAATTTTTTTCATGGTGTAAGAAGAGAAGATCCATTAATGACCCATATTTGTTACATGCAGGTGAAATGACAAGAGAAAATGACCCAAACATAACTTGTCTCATGTTGGGTGGACATCACTCACTGTTGATATTAAAACTATTCTGTTCACAAGAAGATCAACTATCAACCAGGTACAAAAATAAGAAATGTATCCATGGTGAGCAACTAATTTTCATAAAAAAAGGAATTTAAATTTAAGGCATGGATTTTACAGTGCAGATGACGAGTTGAGGCAGAACAGTAATTTGTTTATTCTTTTTTTATATGACGGTTGGCAAGCAACTTTAAAATTTGTTTATTCTTCTCACAGCATCAACAGTAACTCACTTCACAGCCTTTAATAGTCCCAGTGTGCATATTTTATTTAAAAAAAAAAAACGACAACAAAAAAAGGATGTGTGTAATAATACTTTCATAAAGATATGCAAATACATAATTGTGACATCTGCCTGCGGTTCGCTGGTCATCTGCTGAGGGACTCTTGGAGCTGCTCATACATCAGCTGGTCCTGCAAAGACAACACACAGCTGCCATCAGGACGTGGTTGTGTGAGGTAAGTATGAGTAGTGAGCGGATGACATGCAACAGATCAGCTCGTTTCATTTCAGGACGAAAAAAATAAAAAAAAGGTTCAAGTTCAGAATGTTGAAAAAAAAAAGTCCAGACCGCAAACATGATCCAGATCTCAACAACTCTGTAATCGTCTTATCTGTTGAGCTAAAACATTTTCCGCCGGTTTCCGGACAGCTCCAGCAGAGTAACTCCAGCAGCAATCACCCAGACGTTCCTTTCTCACCTTTCTGGACACAGACGGTCGGACGGTCTTGAAGGCGTCCTCAAAGTTCTGTCTGCTGACCCTGATGTCAGCTGTGCAGCCGGCAGGATGTGTGAGAGCTGCAGGCAGAGGGGAGACAGGAGCTCAGAGACAGAACTCTGCCGCAACAAAACGGCTTCAGACCAGAACGGGTTGTTTCAGGATGAGCTTCAGTCACGGTTTAAAGAAACCGAGGCTTTCCAGAAAAATCTGTAGAAACAGACCAGCACCGACCACAGCAACGTAGGCGATAATTTAACAAGACCTCTGAGATACTAAACCAGAATCCCACAAAAGTGTGCATAAAGGATCAGATTCATACAATTTTTAGTGATTTTTTATTTGTATTTTTGCAGTGCATTTATTATAATTTCCAATATTGGCCACATTTTGTAGAGTTGTATCAACCAGCCTATTTGTGCCATCATGTCCTAAATAATAGACATTTATGAGCTGATATACTGACAGGTTTGCTTTCCCAACTGTCGTTAAGTTGGCAGCCATACATCTTGTTCACATAAATAAGAAAAAGAAGGGAGACGGCAAAAGATGAGAGGATATTTCTGCTTTTTAGGTACCAACTCTATTTTTCTAACTGAACAAAAATAATTGAAAAAAAGAAAACATACGAAGTATTTTTGTGCAGCAGGATATTTGCTTCTGGTGCAAATATCCTGCTGCACTTCAAATCTAATCTTTCATTTAAAACAAGCGTCTATATCTTACTCAAAAGTTACTCGTAAGTTAGTTCTGAGGTATTTGCAGTACAACAGTGATCAGCTGCACACAGAGGAGGTGAGCGGTTACCATGATGCTGAGACTTCATATAGACCTTCAGGGCATTTACAGAAGCTTCCCTCACCAACGCCGTCAGATCAGCTCCACTGAGAGAGAGAGAGAGAGAGACACACACACACACACACACACACACACACACACACACACACACACACACACACACACACACACACATGAAAACAAAGTACCTGGAGAAAAGCCACACACTGGCCAGGACAACAAGAGTGACACCTGACCCACATCACCTTGAACTCAACACTTTGGATAAAGTCACATGATTATTTTTGGTGTTTTTTTTTTTTTACATTTTGTGTTAAAAAATGAATTTAAATCACAAACATTATTTCGTTTGAACCCTTGGCCCTTAAGCCTGGGTCAGAGGTCAAACCTAGATCTGAGGCTGGTTTATGAATTGGAAGTTACAAACTAATCCCACATATTCACATATATTTTAACCTCAAATAAAAAAAAAAAAAAAAAAAAACAAAGCATCAAGTTACAAAGTGATGAATCTAGTTGTCTAGAGAACAGAACTATCTGTGATGATGTCAGGAAAACGAGAGCTGAACGAATCTCCTGACAGACGGAACAGGAAGGCCGCTGCTTCACGCAGCACCGACTTACGAAAAGGAGTTGCAGCGTTCGTCAAAGGCAATCTCCTCCAGATGGACGTCCGGCTCCAGCAGAGGCCTGGTGCCGCCCTGCAGCAGACCGTGGCAGTGGTCAGACACAAAGCAGCTGAGGAACCTCAGAACCAAACATTCTCCATGACAACAATAGTCTGTAGTTTAGTGTTGGGGTCGGTTCTAGAACCCAGCGGTCCAACAGTGTCTAGAATCTAGTTTGCAGAAAACCTGAACAATAGAAACCAATGTGTTGTTTTCATTCAGCTTCAGCATCGTGCTCTAAAAGCTTATAGTTTTGAGCTGACATATTGTGAACTCTTTACGCTGTGGGATCCTACTGCAGGTTTTTGGGTTTTCTGTTTATTTCCCACTTCAATGTTTTATTTTAAATCATGTCTTCCAGCAACCACACCAAGTCAGCTGGTCATCAGTCGTCTTGGAGACGCTCTGCATCTCCTGGGAGTCAGATTACCTTAGTAACGGTGAGCAGGATGGCGTGGCGATCTGCCGCACACGGGAGACCAACATACAAGGTTTTATCTAGACGCCCTGGCCTCAGGACGGCCGGGTCGATGATATCTGGGAGAAAGAAAGAAAAAAAAAAACGGTTTGGAGGTCAAAACAGCAGGAAATGAACAATGCTTAACATCTTCCTATATTTCCTCCAGCTGAGGCCCAGGCTGAAGCTAACACACACCAACAACCTGCACTATGTGGGCCTCAGTCTGAAGGCCCACATAGTGCCTTCAGACTAACCCTAACCCTAACCCCTAACCCTAACCCTAACCCTAATCAAGTTCATGCTGCGTTTAATGTGTGTGTAAAGGGATGAAGCAGCATCATGTGACCTCACCGCCTCCAAACAATCCAAAACACTCCAGGCTGAACATGACACACAAATGGCTGATTAAAGCACAATCTGCAAAAGGAGAAGGCGTGGCTTCTATATTTAAGAATACCATAAGCTGTAGTAAAATCTCTTGGGCTCATTTCACCTCTTTTGAGTATCTTGAAATTGAGGTAAAAGGCCAAAAATGAACTCTGACATGAACTTTGTACAAAATTCAAACATACGTGGAAAATTTCTTCACTGATTTGAAGGAGCTTCCATCTCTTATACGCATGGATTATGACTGTTTAATAATTGTTGGGGATTTCGACATCCATGTTGACGACCCTCAAGACAGAGGGGACATTAAACTACTTAATATGTTAAAGAATTTTTTTTGTCTGACTCAACATGTCAAACAAGCAACATACACTCGAGGACACACACTGGACCTGGTTATCAGTAAGTGTCTCTGTAACTGTCGGATCACTTTGCTGTTATCTTTGAAGGTTATTTATTCTTTAACCCACTTGGACAAACAGCTACTATCACAAAATGTTCTTTCACAGAAAACACAGCAGAAACATTTAATCAGATCTACTAAAGCTGTAATGATGTGGATAAATTGATTGATTTTCAGTCTAAAGTTTCAGATATCATTGATTCCATTGCCCCAATCAAAATGAAGGTTGTGTCTAGTAGCAAGAAATCTCCATGGAGAAATGCACAAACAGTTTGACATGCAAGACAACTCTGCCGCAGGGCAGAACCAAAATGGCGTAAAACTCGACTGACCAGCATACGTGGCGCCAGGGGGAGCGCCGTAATTTACAGACAGCTGACGTAAACAAAATCTATTTCATTTCAGTTCAAAAGGACAATACACAAATAAATTCATAAACACTAAAAGCGAAGGATATTACATCTATAATTTCAGTGTGTTTGAGTATCATAAATGCATTATACAGATCAAGTTAGTTCTAGTTTTTCCCCATTAATTACTGTTTTTATTTATTTCAGTTCATAAAAATGTTTCTTCAATTTCATTTGTTTTAGTCAACTGTAATAACCTTGGTGTAAAGCTCTTTCTTCCATATGCAGTCAGAGAGCCCTCCAGCAGCCAATGAACAAGTGAATCTTCATCAGTGCAGACTGAATGTCTGCATGGTGTAACATTAGATGAAGCAACGTCACTGGGTCATAACCCTTGACCTCTGCATACTGTATGAGAAGTACAGATG